TTCCAGTTCCTTACACACGCACCATTTAAACCTAAAATAATCATTCATAAAGTTTGAAAAGGTTGAAGCGAATTACAAGGATGTTCACAGTGGGCTGTGTTTACATTAATCTCGCATCATAACAGCATAAAAGTCGATGTGCAAGTCCATTTAACCACTTACATTACTCAACCGAACGCACAAGCGATCTTCTTCGTGAGCATTTGAGTGTAACTAACCTAGAGCGCCATCTGCTGATAAAAACTAAGCTCAGAATCTATTCGAGAGAGCGATGCATTTTGAAAAGAATCGATCCACGAAACGCGACGCATCGATTTATTGTCCCAGCCCTAGTAGAAAGTAAATTCATTTATGAACACCCTAATTCTTCTAAGTTGCTCCCAAATCGTTCAGCCCAAATACTCAAATAAATAAATACATACATACATAAATCGGAGTAAAAATTAGGCTACTTTTCAGCTGGTTTAGAAAATAATTTTTATTTTCTTTGCAGATGTACTTCCTACCAAAATCATTCCACCAACTCTAAAATTATCATTTTTTTCCTAATATTCAAGTCATCTGGTAAAAATGTCTTAATTTTTTTTAGAACAGTATATAAATAGCAAAAAAACAAATTGCAATGTCGGTTTTTTGTTTTCCAATATTGTGCAGCCCTACTTTTATTTATGCAAGGATGCATTAAATAGAACAAAAAAAAAATTCAGAAATGCAATATTTTTTTACCAATATTCACCAAAAAATCTCAAAACAGACAGTGTTACACAAGCGAAGATGTGACGCTGCTGATTTCAAACAGGCAAAATATGTTGGTTTATCAATTGCTGCCCTTGTCATTCCTCACATTCAAGGACAGACGCCTGTGGATGGATGAACTTTCTGAATGACACCGGCCTGCAGACACCGGCCTGTATATAGGTGAATGGCAGAGGTTATTACATCTCAAGTGTATGAAGCTGGACTCACCGTGGACGGTGAACACATTGAAGTGCTGTGCTCCCTGCCGTGAGATCTCTCTCTTCCCTGCTCCCTTGATGAAGGGCAGCGTCGGCAGACTCGGCCTCCTCTGGTCCCCAGCTAACTTCCCTGGCTGCTGCCCCATAAGGGCAGAAGGCCAGGCGGCGGCCGGACACACAGCGGATGAGGATCACACTCCAGCAGCTGGAGACGAGCGGGACGTTACTGAAGATGGCACAGTCCAATCTGCTCTTCTGTGCGGGTCATGCATCGACTGCTGGATGACTGATTTCAGAGCAGATCACTGCATTAAAAGCTCAAACTGCATACAAGCAGATGCAAAAGAGCAGTGTGTTTTCAATGCACTGTGGGATTAAGAGCAATGTCATTCTCACACAACAGAAAGCGATGAGGACGATACATCCGTTTCTAGGGTCAGAATCAATGCATGAGGATGCTCCGATCACCCTCACTGAAATCTCCAGCGCAAACACACTAAAAACATCAACTCTGAGCACAGCAGTGTTGAGCTGTCAATCATAGTGACGTCACATCGATATGAACGTCTCCAGTTACAAGCTACTGACACATCAGACATGTCAATAATTAGTTCACACGTCCTGATGTGCATTCAACTGTAGTCAAGCTGGAATCAGTTATCACTGGAAAAAGTCTTACAGTCCAATAAATGCTAACACTTTCGAAAGCCGATGTGTATCTCGGGTAGTGATTGTTAGAGGAGTCTAGTGTCATTCAGTATCAGTCAGTACTTATTCTTACATCTGCTTCATCTGTAAACCAGTAAATCGTCGTCACTGACGTAAATAACTCGAAATTAAACGCCCTCAGATGGAGTTCAGGTAATTAAACACAAGTAATAATAGGTGCGGAATCGAGTCATATAACTGTCTGAACTCTCACAGAAACACTCAAACGCACATCCGCGCAGTTTTATCCTGATTTAACTCTCGGTTCGGGCAATTTTGATTTGTAGTGTTGAGTTGGAGTTTGTTTGAGTTGTAGTTGTTAAAGTCTCTCGTCACTTCCGCGTGTCTCTCTCTCTCTCTCGCGCGCGCTCCACAGGCGACCGTAAACTCTCTCCGCGCCGTCTTTACGTCTCTCCTGTCGGGCTCGTTTCCTCACCGAACATCCGCTGGACTCTTCCGCAATCTTCTAATGTTGATTCTTGTCATGTTTCATAACTTTCAGCACTTTTCTTGGAGTCGTTCGTCGTCGCAGGGACCGCCATATCCGCGCACGCGAGCTGCGCTCGTGACGTCACACACCTCGCTCTTCCGCCAACAATCGCTTTATTTACATAATAAGAAAGCAATTAAGACTGTCTCCATTTGTAAGTCCTTTAATATATTTACATAATGTTTAGGCCACCCCCCTGGCTGTATGTGTATTTTGTATGCATATTTTTTTATGTTTTGTTTGTGTTTTATGTTTTCATGTGTATTATTGTAGTCCTAACTGTACTTTAACTGTGTTTATTGAAGTTTAATAAAAAACATTAAAAAATCGCTTCAGTTCCCAAGACAATGGTTTAGCCACCTTATGAATATGATTGATAATTATGGGAATCTTTTAACTAATGAACAGTGTATGCGGACCCACAGTTGTCCTGTCCAATTTAAGGAATTTAATTTGGTTATTAAAGCTATTCCTCTTACCCTTGTTCAGCTTGTTAAAAGTCTATAACTCTATAATAATGGCAAAACCAAAACATTAAATGGTGCTGAGCTGACTGATAAAAAAAAATGCAATAACAAACATATTTGTACTATTTTTCAAAAACAAATAAAAACATTTTTTGGAACTCTATTATATTGTATTAATAATAAAACTATAGAAGTACCTTTTAAAATTAATTTCAAGATACTCCGATATTAATGCTTTATGTTCCTTTTGTAAAAGTGAGAGAGAGCTGGTGACTCATTCTTTCTCTGAATGCAAAATTGTCCAAAATGTTTGGAAGGAATTGGCAAATTTTATTTTTTATTTAGTAAAGGTTTTTACATGAAAGGATATTATTGTGTATTATGAAAACAAAACTAATAAAGGTTTTGAATACATTGTTAATTTATTTATATTGCTGGCAAAATGTTATATACATAAGCAAAAATATTTAAATTCATCCCCATTGTTTATGTTGTTTATTGTTGAATTTGATTGTTTTATGTCTTCTTTGAAATTGTTTAATAAAATGGCATTAGTTAAAAATATTATGATAGTATTTTCGGATCTCCTGTTACCACTTAGACTATTTTATACTATACTTTGTTCGGTATTTGTTTCTCCCTTCAATTAAAAAAAATCGCTTCAGTTCCTAAATTAAAATCAATAAAACAATGGCTTTGGCACTTCCTCTGGACTGAAAGACTGAATGACCCTGGATTGTTGTTGTTGTATTGTTATGATTTGACAATGATGACAACTGTTGTTGTTGTTTTATTATTACTGTTTTTTCAAGCATTCAATTAAAAAAAATCGCTTCAGTTCCTTGATATTTTTAATACCCGATTGTAACCGTATTTGTTATTTTTATATTTCTACTTGCCCCTGGCACATTTTATTTATTTATATTTTACTTATTTTGTAATATTTTTCTTTCTCTTTTCTTGATATATGGATTATACAAACTTAATTGTATATTTTTGCAATTAAAAAAAAATCGCTTCAGTTCCTTCAACAATAACTAAAACAACTTTTAGCTGGAAAAATAAGAAAGTTGCAAATGTGTTTATTATTTTTTTTTTTTGGTTGTTCATCCCAATTCCCCCAGGCTATATTTGTAGATCTTTAAAAACAATAATAAAATCAAAGCTCATCAATATCAGATTTCTTATAATTATGTATTTGACTTTTGTCCTCAATTAAGCAAATTCGGTTTTGCGGTTTTAAACCATTGGCTACCAACTAAAGGTCGAATAACAGTTTTTTTTTGTTTTTTTTTAAGTTGATGATAACATAATTGGCCATCTATTTCATAAACACGTTATTAAATGTTGCAAAATCATTCCGCTACTGTGTTTAATGTGTTTGTATGGGAACTATTAGCGCCCTCTTGTAATACTGCAGCACAAGAACGAACCTCAGCGACTCTCTCAATTATTAACACTATGTTAACTTAACAAGCAAAGTGTCTGAAATTGAGAACACTGATATCATGGACATATGAAGTCCATCGGACACGTGCAAATTCCTCACTAATTCAACTGCACAAACACAATCTTTAATTACAGATTCTAACAATGATAAGAAGTGGTATAAGATCAAATTTGTGTTAAAGGAATAGTTCACACTAAAATGAAAATAGCTGAAAATAACCCTCACTCCAGTGGAAAAAGTCCATCGCCTCTCACATTAAAATCCACCCTTCTTTCATTTGTTTAGAACTGTTTCGGCTTGTAAACGGTACTTGATCCGTGCATATTTCTCTCCTGATTGTATTGTTCGCACGAGAAGCAATAAACGGCACTTGTTTTCTGACAAATTCATTTATTCCAACATTTGAAACTATAAGGGTTTACATGGAAGTCAGTGGTTTATCCTTCATGCTCAACTAGGCGCTGCCTTGTTTCCAGAATGATCTCCTCCATGATTTCTGGCTTCAGGATATCTTTAATCTACAAGGAAACAAAGCGAGAGATGCAATGCTTGACGCTTCATGAACATGCATGTAGAGCTCAATAAGACATTTTGTGATGGGAGACCCTAATCAATAATACCTGCTGCGGAAGAGACGCTTCGTAGCAGTAAAGCACGCTTGTGTCGTACAGCAAAACCTTATGAGCCGCAAGAGCCAACAAACAGTTCCTGAGCCTGGAAATCACCTCCCGATCGGACAAAGACACGGGCTGAGAGAGAGAAATTGTGTGTTTAGGGACTCGTCTCTGTATTATTATTAGTGCGATTTCGTGAGCAGCAGCAGAAGTCTGACCTCCATGCTGGTGTAATATCCTCCGGCCTCCTCGTCCTGCTGTCCCGGTGTGGGATACAGCCACACATAGCCGTTGTTGCCCAGTATTATGGAGGCGCCGCATGGCAGGTTGTGGAAATGAGTCTTCTGTCTCTTCACTATCGACGGTGACACGAACACCAGCACACCCTGACCCAGCTGACAGAACAAACACAGCATCGTTCACGCTCATCTCATAACGTGCTGTTTTAATACAGTGATGTGCGTCATTCTCACCTTGCCGTACTTTAAACTGCGTGTGTGCAGAGAGAGAGCGCCATCTGAGAAGATTGACTGAACCTCTGCCTTTGAAAGGGGTTAAGGAACACAGCTGCAAGTAATTATAATAATAACAATAAGAAGAAGAAATCTGATCTAAACGAGATGCTGATACACTCCAACTCTTTGAAGTCAAGATAATAAGAGTCACAACCTACTGCACTTCCACAATCAGACAAGACATTCAATGCATGATGAGAATCGAATGATAACGAAAACAAATCTTTAGATTTGGAGATCGAGAGATGGAACAAGAATCACATTTTGATGCAAGACTATGAAAATAAATCGTATTGCTTTGGAAAACAGTAGTGTTATTTTAGGATTATTTATATACTATAACATTATTTATTAATATTTTAAATTAGCTTTTGTTTTTATATTTTCATTTGAATTCTAGTCCATGTTTTATGTGCTTGTCATTTTTTTTTTGATAATATTTCTATTCTTTTTTATTTCAGTTGTAGTTCTAGCTATTTTTGTTATTATTTCTATTTAGATCTAATGCCCGGTTCAGACTACACGATTTTAGCCCGATTTTGCCACGATTTGCTTGACGTAGGGTGTCGTGGGGATTCGTAAACGACAATATGGGAGTCGGGATGCAAGATTCCATCGTTTCAGCACGTGTAGTGTGTCATAGCGGATGACAACCGATTCCGCGTCTGCGATGCTTCACGACATCACGACTAGCATGTTTCATTTTTTTCCGTCATCCACGACGAGTTCTGTCACATTGGTGGCGTTGACCAATAGCAGCACAGAAGCTCTTTCATACACGGGTTTCAAACATGGCAAAACGAAAGAGAGATGATGGTGCTGCTAGGTGGAATTATGAGATGGAGGAAAGGTTCGTGGAGCTGTGGCAACAGTACTCCTGCCTGTATGATGTGTCATCGAGGGACTACCACGACAGAACAAAGAAAGAAAAATGCTGGCAAACTATAGCGGAAGCACTTCAGCAATGTTTACACTCTTGTTTTCGGAAGTCAGTCGCTAGTTCCGCCTTCTCGATTACATCACACGCGTCGTTAAAGACAGCACGCGATGGTCGGGAAGCAACGTGTAGTCTGACATGTTTCTTGTCCATGCCACGACAAGATTTTAGGAGTCAAAATCGTGTAATCTGACACAGTGACTATCGTGACCGACAAAAATACCGTGTAGTCTGAACTCGGCATAAGTTTCAGTATTTTTGTAGTGTGATTTTGTCCTTTTTTAGTTTTTGTTTTTTTTAGTATTTCTATTCAGGTTTATTTTTATTTCTGTTTTAGTAATTTTGTTATATGCTTGTCCTTTTTATTAGTTTTTGTTTTCAAAATTTCTATTTAGCTTTATTTTATTTCAGTCTCATTTTAGTTTAACTTAAGTACACTGAACAAAATTATAAACGCAACACTTTTGTTTTTGTTTAGTAGTTTAACTTAATCTTATTTTAGTTGCCAAGGCAATGTTTCTCATTTTTGTTTACGTTTTTTTAAGTTTAAATTTGTCATCTTTACATCGAATGTCAGATTTATTTCAATTACTGAAATGATTTGTAATATTTGAGTTTTTTTAGTTAACAATAACAGTAACTGATTACTAATGAATCACTCAGTATCAGAGCAGGAACATGAAATAAGCAAGTAAACGATGATTTCATGACTGGTGTGAGGATACACTGATGAGATCTCCTTCCTGAAGATAGTCTCTCATGGCCAGCTCATCCTGCGCTGATCGCCTTCTCTGAGACACAAACAACAACATCTCATTCCCTTTGACTACTACGAACAGTTAGATGTTGGTTATATGGGCATTTCATCTCAGACACCTGTTGTAGCAACTAGTATAAGAAAGAAACAAGTAAAATACTAGAATAATTGTGCCTGGTCAAAGGTATCACTGTGCGATTAAATATGTGTTTGATGACACCAAACTGCCTCTCATTTCACTCCACACTCTAATTCTTCACACAACAAGTCATTTCTAGTCGATATTTCATAAATGATCATGGTAAGCAGCCGTGCAGAGCAACGTTCAGTCAGCCGGGGATGTTCTGGCTGTGTAATATCCTCACCAGCTCTCCTCCGGGCAGATTGACTGACGACAGCAGCAGCACTGAATCCAGACGTGAATTAGTCTCGACTTTCCATCGCTTCTGCTGCACCTGGACCATTAGAGACACACATCATCAGAGAGCCTCGACTCCAGAGACGACGATCACAGATCTCTCACAAAACACTGAACAAAACAAACCTCTGTGATTCTGCCGATGACCACATCGCCAACCTCACCGTTATACCTGCGGGAGTGAGAGCGAGACACGGTGAGTGTGAGCACGTAATGTAGTGCAGTGTAACGTTAAATGCAGGGTTTAAGTGTGCACCTGGTCTTCAGTGGTCTCACACAGATGAGTTTGTTGACTCGCTCCACCTCTCCAGCCACTGAAGCCGTGAGTCTGTCTTCATCCATGTATGTGCCATGACCCCTGAGGATGAGCAGGAGTTTCACACACACACGCACACACACACACACGCGCACAAACACACACACGCGCGCACACACACACGCGCGCACACACACACACACGCACTCATACACAAACACAGACACAAACACACACACTCTCTCACACACACACACACACACTCATACACTCACTCATACACAACAAGAACACTACTTACACTCATTAGTGAACAGAATTCTCCAATAAGATCCTCGACACGTGACTGATGTTTCTAATACAAATTATTTCACTCTACACGAATAGTCAATTATTTTACAGTAAGAAAAACTGACATTAACTATTAATGTCTTAACTCAGGCCTTTTAAAATAAGCTGATGTGTGCACGTGAGTCAGATGGTAACTCTTGTAAATCCTGATTGTCATTCATCAGCAGACTGATTTCGCTCATATAAAAACATGCTTTTACCTCATGAAGCCCGTGTCAGATGTGATGACATCCCCAGGAACCACCAGATGTTTGTCGTCCCGGTTAGACTGTGATGCTGCCAGTGAAATGTGTTTGTGAACCGCTGGGAGCCTCATCTCCACCGCCATGCTTCACACCGGATCCGTGCAAAATGGCAGAGAGCGCGAACCGATTTCATAATAAAAGCTCGTGTGTTTGAATCATCAATGAACTGACTTTATCTGGAAAAATGACTCTTTGTTATTGTCTTCTTGCATTATTGACAAACTATTTTCCTGTTTGACACTGTAAAGCTGCTTTTAACACAATTAGTATTGTACAAAGCGTTATATAAATAAAGATGACGATGCATTTGATACTGAATTATTAATTATTTAAATAAATCAATTAAATACTCTGTACATTTGTGGTGTGAGCTTTTATTTTGTAATAAGATGAGTGTCCGCTAGAGGGAAGCATTGATTTTATTTTAAAACTGGGGCACGTTCAAGCTCAAAACGGTGCACAACGTTTTGCTACAGTTCCGGGTTGAACAACATGTTTCCTGGAAACGGTGTGCAACGGGGTTTGAGATACGTTTTCTCTTGTTTGGTGGATGTGTCAAAAATGTCAGCCCAATCAGCAGCAACATGTATATAAACCACACGGTATTAAAGAGACAGCTCGCACAATGTAATTAACATCCAAATAAATTCGCAATAGCAAGTATATTGTTTGCACATGTTTATTTAACAACAGGAGGATGGAGGACGCTGTAATCGGAGCTGTGAAATTTTGTTGTGTCTCGCGGGTTTCACAATAATGAACATGGAAAGTCGACGTATACGTAAAGCGATTGAAAGAACGGAAAGGACGACTAAGAATCTCCAACGACAGCTGGCAGTGCTACATTTGCTACAAGTGCTACAACTTCAGCGTCCGTCCATCTAGCGCTGTTCTCCATACTTGCGAAATAAGTTGACACAATGTTTACAGTATGTTTACACGGCTTTTTAAATCATGGCTGTCCGGCAGTGCGAAAGGCCCTATAGTTGCAACTCTTCCGTCATCAGAACAGAGTGTTCAACGCACCACCGTTTCCGTTTAAAAAACGTTTTGTCGGGGCTGAACGCAGCCCTGTACTGCTCTGGTCATGTGACAGTTTGCACTAACCATGTGACACGACACATATTTAATTGAGACCCTTTATTTTTTCCATAATTGCAGGAAATGCACTAAAACATCAGTCAGTAAGGTTTTTAGAGCTTTATAAATGAAAACCTTTTTTACGGTCACTATTGTGACCGGTGGGATTAAATGAAGGTTGGTTTGATGGTGTGTACATTTAAACAAAATACAGTGCATACAACAAATACATTCTTTCAGGTAAAAAAAAAAATAATAATAATAATGCAAAACATATATATTTCTAGTTTGAGACAGCCCACTTTGCACATTCATGCACTCAGAACTGTCTCTTTCATACAAACAAACAAACAAACAAACAAACAAACAAATAAAACTGTAGAATGAAAACGTATAAAGTTGGTGTGTTTTCATCTGAAGTGGGCGTGTCTTGTTGTCGCCTGTCTTCCGGGGGCGTGACGAATCGATCGCCTCGCTTACATCAGGGAATCAGAGCAGCGCGTGTCCAGGAGAGATGAGCGCTGTTTCGGGTCTCGGTAAAGCGCTGGTCGTCATCACCGGAGCGTCGAAGGGCTTCGGCCGGGCCCTGGCTCTGTCCATCGCGCCTCGTCTGGCAGCGGGCTCGGCTCTGATCCTCGCGGCCCGATCGGATGACAAACTGCAGGAGCTGAAGGCTGATCTGTCCCGCGGTGAGTCCGGGCTGACGGTCCGCTGTGTTGCGGCTGATTTAGGGTGTCAAGCGGGTGTAGAGAGAGTAATTACCGAGATCAGAGACATCGATCCGGACATCGATCATCTGCTGCTCTTCAATAATGCAGGTACGAGTTTAATATTCTCACAAACTTCATTTTCTAGATTAGATTTGCGCTCCCTTTAACTACACGTGTATTTGCATCCAATGTACACGCACAGAAAACATGATAAAGGAATAGTTTTTTCCCCAAGATCTAGGTGACTTTTTTTTTTGTTGTTGGCTTCAGTTAAAAAGTAAAGAAGATTTTTAGCTGAAACCGTGCACCTTGGTGAGTCATAAAATGCAAGTCAATGGCTACCGTCACTTCGAGAGTCAAAAAAGCATATCAGGCAACACAAAATGAATACCCTTGGCTCCTGACGATATTTTTAGGTCTTATGAACCGAATTTATGATAGTAAAATAGTAGCAAAACTCGAGAGCTTGTTGATTTGAATGTGAGAACTTGTCATTAATATTCGTATTTGTAAGTTGAAATTTGCACTCACAGCTCTGATGTGAAAAGCTGAATCTCACGGCGGTAAAGTTAGTTTGACGTTTGACATTCAGTAGACATTCGGGTTTTTTGCCAATTAAACTCTTTGCAGCTTTTATGTTTTGAGCCCAAACTAACTCAGATAGACATAAATATATGCCCTTTATGTTGCACAAGGCTTAATTTCTAGGAATTAAAAAATAAATAAATTAACCATTTAAATTAATTAAACAGTTTAACTACGTGACATTATAATATAAAACCAATACTACAATGTTCGGGAAAACATACCTGTTATCGCACAAAGCTCCATTCACAAAAACAAAATGACAGACACAAATGTGTACAACATATTTTCTTTTGTGCTTCACTTCAGTTTCGCTGTACAAGTCAGCGCTTACTAGGGTTGGGCGATGTCTACCACATTGGCATGGGAGGATGTCTACAGTGAAACATTGTGATGGACGATGACATCGGGGGGGGGCGGGGGAAGGGGGAGTACCGCCAGTGGCTGCCCAAGGCGGTGGTGCTGGAACGATGGAAGACGAAGTGGGACGGAGGGCTCACTGCTGTGCTAGTAGAGCGCAGTCTCGTGAGTACCCCCCGGCCTGCGAGGGGCGATGGGGGTATGTGACGAGAGGGGCGGGGCCGAGAGCCGTGGGAACGGAGCGAGGCCGGTGGAGTAATTACTAATTCGAGTCGTCCGCGAGGGGCTGTCGCGCTATTTTGTGTTTATTTTACTATTAAAGTTTTGTTTAAATGTCCGCCGGTTCCCGCCTCCTTCTTCCCGTGACTACGAACTTTGCTACACACGCATACATACATACATATTAGGGATGGGCATTCCAAGCAAAAAATAATATTAGAAAATCGCTGGGTATTATTCGATTATTATTTGAAAATCGCACCCCTCCCCTGCATGTACACACAAACACCCGTAAACGGAGAGAGGGGTTGTGGTTGTGGTCCGCACAAAACTCTTATTTGACATCATCCCAAGTTACTGTAACCATTATATGCTACGCAAGTCTTTTTTTATGCCACGCAAGTCTACAGTGTGCACGTGAGACAATGTGTTCTTCTGTTGTCTTTGACAGCTTTTAGGTGTGTTATTGGCAGCGCCACATGAACGCATCACCACCGCATCAGCACGGAAAACATGGGGACATTTTTTAAGACAATAATCGCACAACCCATTCGATATTCTATAATTAAATCAACTAATCGAATATTCGAAAATCTTGACCCATCCATATATAATAGGGCTGGTCAAGTTATCGCGTTAACGCATTAATTGCTTAACGCTGACAATTATTTTATCACGCATTAATGCAGTTTTTTTTTTTATTATGAAAGTCCGTTGCTCACTGGCTCTGAATACACATACAGACAAACCATGGGTCACAGGAGGGGTGGGATGGGTGTCATCACGCGTCTCAACCAATGAGAGCATTTGGGGAGGGGCTAAGACTGCAGGAGCGCTCACATGGGCCCTGTCCCAAATGGCACCCTAAACCCTCGCGGTCTTCGGGGAGTCCGCACTTTCCTGACGTAATGCCGCTTTGACTGTCGGGTAAAAGTCTGCTGCGGAGCTCGCCCCGGTGCGGGCTCGGCAGAAGTGCGGATCGAGGGCGCATAACGGCCGCAAAGGGGGCGCTCGCGAGCACCCTTCTGAACGCTAAAATGACAACTGGGACACCCTACGGTCTCCTGGACTTAACGGACACGTGCACGCGGTGGCCATTGTAAGTCCGTAAGACTGCACATGAAGTGTTCCATTTGGGACAGGGCCATGGACGCTCCTGATAAAATTACTTGGGTTAAGCATCAACATTCACAAAAGCGCTCTCGCTCAGCACAGTGGAGTGCATCGTTTTGTTAACTTTGTGGTTTATTATTTTGAGTCGTTTGGGACGCGGTAACACACGGCCCTCTTACAATATATTGCTTTACAGATCTATCGCTTTTGCCGCTCAGAAATGTTCACGCAATCTTGTTGCACACGTATCGGAAGATCTGCGCTCCGCTCACACTACATGCGTACCGAGCCCAACTGAACCGCGCTCTGGCCCACCTCTTCCAAGTTCCAACCGAGCCAGGGACGGCTAAATGAACGCACGGAGCGAACACACTAGTCAAACGAACCTTGCTTTGGGGGTCAAACGCGCTCGGGCACGATTACATTTACATTTAGTCATTTTGCAGATGCTTTTATCCAAAGCGACTTACAATTTGGGGATACATAAAGCGA